CTTTATTTATACACATATAGACATATTCTTACAGATGCTGTGAGTGGTGAGTAAACGAGAAATTAGAAATGTACTGTGAAACTTGGCAAATGAACAATAGTGGCAGTAGAGTAGGCTACCTTCGAACAGGGTACGACGCAAGTTTCAGGTGATTTCAGACATTCGTCATGGATGAGATGCGTCCGCAAGAACTTCATTCGGAAAAAATATATATGACATTGATTTGAGTTGAGATCTGGGATATGTTTAAGTTTGGACTGGTATGCAAGGAGTGGGACGTACAAACTTTCACTACCATATGCACGAACATGGTAAATATTATCAGCCATACCTATAAACCAAAGCGTCCATAAGAAGGAAAGAAAATGACTAGAAATAATTCTTCTGCATCTGCAAAAACATCTATAGACAGTAACATAAACGAAATTGTCTGACACCAGGCTCAGGTCGCAGTATTATATGATACGTATCCAATTTGTTTATTAAACATATGCAATCATCAGTAGCTTGACAAATTGAGGTAAACATTGACTACGAGATGTAAGAATGATCAATAAATAATATGTGAACTACCGGGTATCTGGCTGAATCTATTCATATGCATTTAATCATAGTCATACCTGGGATATCGAAACTCTGGATACGAGTGTAGAAGAAAAATGTTGTGTTACTACATTCGTACATCCAATAATATAAATATGTAAATAGCAACGAAAAGATATCCTAACTATATGAAATGATGCAAAAACATGACACATATCACCAACTGCGCAATCTATGTTTTGATGCACACATACTCTAGGGAGGCCAGCCAACAGGCACATATACATATACACACCAAAATATTCTTTTACATAAATATTTGTGTAGTATGTCGATGTATATATATACATATCAAAATCATATGTAATGTTCTAGATGATAATAATCCGACATTGAAAACAGGCACACAATTATGTTCTCCCCCGAGTCACACACCATAGGTTGCATAGTTTCGGTGGGTGCCACCATGTTGACTATTGGGTGAGATATATCGGTGTGAGGCCGCAGAGTCGCCTTCCACTACAAGTTAAGAAAAGGTGATACTCACTATGTGGACCTCAACACGTATGCTCATTCTATATCTCTCTAGTTGACATGTATATGACATGTATATATTGCCTAAGCTATATACACTCGAGTTCGCACGTAAGCTACTATACGTATCCATATCACTTCAATTTATACATATTGTATAGATCTTCTTTAATCATTATGGAAATAATAAAGCATCATACTGAAATCCGGCCAATCAGTACACCTCGTGATGCCGCGTGCTTTTTTGGCGCGCATTTTAACAACGATAATCAGTCTACAACACCGCCACTCCACAGACAATCGTTATTTGGAACTTGAAAACAAGGAGTCGTAGGTACGTAGAGCAGAACTATGTTTCTTCTCGAGAGGGCTATGATAAATACTGTATTTAAATACATAGGCTATGTATTCATGCGAAAGAGCAAGCGGTGTATTTATAATTTTACATTCATCACACTAGTCAAACTTCAGAGTTCAGAGTTGTACTTTGTTTTGAACTCTACGAAGAGTTGTACTTTTTTGGACTGTACGAACGGTGTTCGTGTAGTTTAGATTCCACGAAAGGTTACTATATTCGACACTCATGTATATATACACGTATTACGGTAATGATACTATACTGAGTTTTGATCTTGGTATATTTTTGTTTCCTGTTTTTGTGTATATGTATACATTATGGTATCTATGGGAATCGGAGTTGCTTCCTTCCTTTCAGAATGCACGAAAGGTATTCGTATATAT